CTTAAATTGTATAAATAACAACTACTAATAAACCATACAAATAATAATAATTAAATCATACAAATTTTATTTTGTATTTTTATTAACTCAAATCATACAATAAAAATAATACAAATTAATATATAAAAAAAAGTTCACTAAAAATAATCAAAAAATAGTCACATATATTTTAGCATTAAAAATAGTTTCAAAAAATTATGTCTTGAGAAATCCAATTCATCATATTTGATTAAATTTTGTCTCCTATTTTTCTAAAAAAATAAATAAAACTAATTTGTAAAGAAAAGATCATTTTCTTATGATTCTATAAACAAAGTATATAATAAAGTGTAATAAAATGTAATCAAGTGTTTCCTCTCCAGTATTATTTGCAGACGACATTTCAATATTTCTAATATTGTATAATAAAGTTAAAAAAAATAAACAATTAAAATAAACAATAAAATTAAAAAATGAAAAAGACACTATAGAGTGGAAGTCAAATTAAACAAATAAATATTTGATTAAATAAATAAATAAATAAAAGATAAAAATATAATTAAAAAAATAAACAAATTAAAAATAATAAAAATAAAAAGGGAGAGGGAGTACTAATTGTTCCAGGATTGTTCCACTTTTCTCTCTAATTTGGGTGGAATATAACATCCATTTCATAGCATTGTCTTATAGTGAAAGATATGGTCATTTTGGTCTTTTGTTCAAACCATTTTTAGAGAAAAAGTTGTAAAACGGACCAATATATACAAATGGAGGACGTGCAGTCCACTTGCCGTTTGTTTAGATAGAAAATGTAATAGTTACAGATCAGTCCAAAACTATAAGGGAGGTATCCATATATTTCTAAACATCAAGGGGCCATCTACAATAACCCAAAATCACGAGGAGTTAAGTGCTTTTTGCCCTAAATTTTAATAGGCACAATAAAATAAAACCTCATTTTTATATTTAACCTTGAGCCTCAAAAATTCTTGAGTGGTTATTGGTTATATAAAAACTCTCGTTATATTGTTGTTTCTATTTATAAAGTAAAGGAAATTATCATTTTACTTTCATTTCAATGGAATTGAATTTCAATACTACCACCCCAAAAAGCTATACAAATGAAGGGGAAAAAAGGAACAGTTGCAGAAGACGAGGTGAATTTGTAGGAATTTGTGTTGTAACTGTAACATGAAGAAACCTCTCTAATCCGTTATTAAAACTTTTTCTATTGAATTTAAATTTAATAAATAGAAGTGAGATTGAATTATTTCATCAAACATTATTAAGTTAAGAGTGAGTCAAAATTTTCACTACAAATAAATCAAATCATTCATCAAATTTTTAAGGGTAAATTACACTGACACTCCTTGAGGTTTGATCCAATTACATTCTACTCCCTGACATTATAAAAATTACATTTCCACCCTTATGGTTAATAGTCTTATTTCACAAACCTCATACTTATATAAAAGGTAACAACTTCTAGTACAAATACAGAGGAAATTAAGTTGAAAAAAAATAATAAAGAAAAGGAAAGGGAAAAAAAAATTAGAGGAAGTAAAGCAAAGTAAGAAAAGAGAAAGTGTATGAGTTCAATATTTTCATTCCATCTAATAATTACAATAACAGAAGAGTTAGTGTAATTTTCCAAACGTCAAAAAGTGATATGTATTAAACTCAAACCTCAGGGGATGTAAGTGTAATTTACCCAATTTTTAATTGTCGTATTTTTACTCGTACATTATACATCAATTACGGCTTCACTTTTTTTGGTTTGTTTTTTTGTTTTGTTTTTTCTATCTATAGTTTCTTATTATGTCGTCCAACTCTATGTTAACATTTGTGAATGTCTATTTGAATGTTTTCAAGCTAATTTATTTATTTTTTTGTTGCACAACAGGTGTTTGACAAATTTGCTAAATGAAGGTTTCTTTTTGTTCTCAGCAATCACTTTCCTTTTACTCCGAAAACTGTAAGTTCAGTTCTAATTTTCATAAACTCTGTTGTCTTTTTTTCCTAATTTGATGTTAAATATGACCAATATTAATATAGGATTACCATTTTTTTTTTGGTTAGTTTGTGTTTGCACTTTACATATGTGATTTTTTTATTATTTCATGAGATTTTTATTTTTGTAATTGAAATGCATCTTCTTGGATTCTTATTGAATTTTCTTGATAGTTGATTCTCATTTCAACAAGTTTGATGAGGAACAATGGATTCTACAAGTATAAGCTCTTAAAGTGTGGATAGCTTCTTGTCAACCAGCTCAAATTCCTGCACAAAAAAAAAAAAAAGTAGAGTCACTGCAGGAAATTCAGCTTTTAGCGGCGTTTAAAAAACGCCGCGATAAGTGCCAAAAACGCCACTAATTCTTTTTGTGACGCTTAGCACCAAACGTCGAGGACGCGGCCGTCGCTATAGCATTGTGGCGCTTTAAAAACGTTGTTAATTTTTTATAGGCGGCGTTTTTAAAACGCCGCTAAATGTGATACATAAAGGCAAAGTGACGTCATGACAATTTTTAGCGGCACTTTAGAAATGTCGTTAATTGGTATAGGCGACGTTTTTTAAAAAACACCTCTAAATGTTATACATAATTACAAAATGACGTCCTGACAACTTTTAGCGACGTTTCAAAAACGTCGTCATAGCCTTTTTTTAATTTTAAAAAACTAACCGTTAACTGTGGGGTTTTGAAAAATGCCATCTTTATGTTTTTAATTGTTTTTTTTTTAAATTATGCTAATTTTATGTGGTTAAACTAAAAAAATACATGTAATAAAATTGAAAAGTAACACTAACATAAAACAATGACTCCTATTTCCATTCAAATGAACATTTGTCAAAAGAGCCGATTATACAAAAAGCTGTCAATTAGCAAATATATCATTAATTCACTTTCTCATTTAATTTAATATCCAATCACCATTAACTAAAAAATAATAGGAAAAACATCAAGACAAACCCCATGAGTTATGATTTAATTTAATGTCTTGCCGTTATTACTAAATTCACTGAACTCAACTGATATAGCATAGAATCTGTAGTCTTCACTGGTCTAGATACCTGCATCAGAACATGGAAGCCAAATCAATAAATCAATAACTGTAGAAGTGTTAAACATAAGATCTACATTACAACTCACCATTTGTTGAAGAATGTTTTGTACCTGGAAAACAATTTAAACAAATCAGTCATTTCTGAGGCTTTGAAATAGCAGGAAAAGGCAGAAAAATAATTTATTTCTAGGCATTAACTAGAAATAAGCTATCAACCAATTCATTTTATTCTTCATCATATACTTCTGAAGCCATGAACTCTGGTGTCCCTAATTAATCTCAAAAAATAGATAAAAACTAACTCAATGATTTCCAATAATTGTGTCAATCAACCAATCACTCACACAGAAAGTTACATATCATCACAAAAAGTCATTTTACAACAGATAAAAAGTCATTCTTGTGTCTAATTACAAGAATGAAATGAAACATATCTGGAAAACTCACATTAATATTCCTACTCACATATTCCCTTGCCATGGTTTTTGTGAGGCCAAGTAGCCCTACCTTTGCAGCATTATAATTGGCGTGCCCAACGTTACCAACAAGACCAACAATTGATGCTATGTTGATTATCCTTCCCTGCCACATCAGCAATTAAGATAAATGGGAGATTGAAAAGCAAAAAGATAATAAATAGCTACCAAATAATTGTTTCTCAATTGTTTCTCAAAATTACCCCTTGCCTTTGCAGCACTACAACTGGTTTGCCCAACGTTACCAACAAGACCAACAATTGATGCTATGTTGATTATCCTTCCCTGCCACATCAGCAATTAAGATAAATGGGAGATTGAAAAGCAAAAAGATAATAAATAGCTACCAAATAATTGAATTTTTTTTCTCAATTGTTTCTCAAAATATCAAATTTCTTTCTCAATTGTAAGCAACTTGTGATGCATTATGAAAGAGCATGAAATGAGGAGAGAATTGAAATATTTTTCCAAAAACTATTTCTGCTGCAAATTTGAGAAACAAACTTTCAAGTGGAAACGCATATAAAAAATAGGTTGAAACTAAAATCCCTACCCACCCCCCTGCATGTGGGAAAAAAAGTGTAGCTGTCTGGCAAATACATTTTTAATATAAATAAAATTGAGTCTCTGAGAAAGGAATACCTTTTTCTTTTTCATCATAATTTTGGCCTGCAAAGAGTAGTAGAAAAGCTGCTTAGATCCAACTAAGAGGAAAGCTATGACTGCCAAAACTGAGCTTAAAATCTACATGCTTGTGTGCATAGGTATACACCAGTGAGATTTAGATCAATAACCTTCTTCCATTGAGCAGTCTTCATTCTCATCAATAAACCATCTCTAGTAATACCTGAAACCATTGTTGATCAGTTAGTGGACTATATCTGAAACGGTTAATGATGGAAGAGGAGGTGGAACATTCAAGAACCTACATTGTTTATCAATATATCAACTGTTCCCCATGCATCAACCGCTTGTAGATGCGACAATTATGAAGCAAACTAAAAAATATCACCATATTAAACTAAATATATATTATAATATTAATTTTATTATCAGCATTGCAAAGCAGATACACCTGCACATTTCCCAGTAGCTTCAAGCAAAGCAGCATTGCAAGTCTTCAGCTCTATGGAGGTGCCTGAGAACATTGAGGCTGCCTCCTCTCATCCTCCGCTATGTCCCATACACCTGCACATTTAACTTTCCGTCAAAATTCTTAATGAACTTTTTTATATATTCTTATATAAATTATGTGAGAAAAAAAAAACTAATAAGACAGAGATAAGAAAAAACAAAGGAAAAAACAAGTGAGAATAAGTATCTACACCTGTATAGTCCTACTTGCTTCCTGCACAAGTACATTCTAAAACTAAATAAATTAGATTGTTATTGAAAAGACATCTATTGTCAAGAGAATTGCTTTCCTTAAAAAGGGATATGATGTGATGATCGTTTATTTTAACTAACTTAGAACTCTCACCTAAAATCGTCCGAACAGCTTCTAGGTAGGAGGGATTTCTCTTGGGCCCTGGACCGGGCGATCTGTAACAGTGGCACAGAGAGAAGGCAGAAACAAAGGTTACTGATGCAAAGAGCAGCATAGCCAATGGGCCTGCAAATCTCAATTGTTAATAGGAACTTTTCAACTAATATCACAAACTACAAAAACATTTGATCAATTGAAACTATTAGTTTCAATAGTAGCTTAAGAATAGAATATTTATCCATCATAACAACTCCATTTAGTAACAATGGTTGGATCTTAAAAAAAACATTTAGTAAGTATCTATAAAAAATAAAAATAAAAAAGGAACCATTTGGTTTAGTAGGAAATAAGAAAACATGTTTCAGACCACCGATTTGATGAGTCCATACACTCTAAGACGGTGTTTGGTTCACTGAAATGAAGGTAGAATGGAATGGAATAATTATTACTTAGCATCCCATTAGAATGACCATTCCTTTATAATGTTGAATGATGATTCTATTTGAATGAATTTTCTACCAATTTTTTGCTCTAATTGAAAGCTCATAAACTCACTGCAATATTGAATTTGCACTTTCACAATATCTAAGTGTGCAAATGGTAGTATAAATAATATTTTTCTTATTTTCATAATTAGTACACACACCTCCAGAAGAGGTGCCTGATAAAGGAACACAAATCATAAGCAGTTTCTTAACATGACACAAAAAACTAATTCACGGATGTGCCTAATTCACAGAAAAAAATCAGCATCACGTAACAAACATGGCAGCCACAAGATCAGTTCTGATTCAAGAGATGGAACACAAACCATAAGCAGTTTCTTAACATGCTCCTCAAACATGACACAAAAAACTTATGCTATATCCCTCGCCATTAAACTGAACAAGCATCCAGCCCTGCACCTAAGCAAGTCCCCTCTCCAAGGTGGTTAGGTGCTTCTCACTGTATCAAGTGGAATACAAAGTGAAGACCATAAAAGATGAACGAGAATGGTGTGATAGTATTTTCCAGTGCTTAACATCATCAAAAATGGACGTATCAGCACAAAAAATTCAAGGATACTAGAGAATTCAAACTAACAAGCTAGATCCCCACCAGCCACCATTGGTTGAGGAAGTGGTGATCTTAAGAAAGCTATTCATAAAGGTAGTCTCCTTCTCGGTCAATGCACTGTGCACAATTTAATTTATTTGTCCCTCAATAAAAGTGGCACGTGCATGATTGAGTGTCTAGTCCACTATTTGTACTGAGACTTCAGAAGAAAGGGCATGAAATAAGAAGTTGAGTTTGAAACTCAAGAAAACCAATACGATATTCTAAATTTACATAAATAATAAATTCATCTTTTGGTCATTTAAACTTCACTAATCTAATTTCATTTGATAGAGAACATGAGAAAGAAAAAAAATAAGTTTACCCTTACCAGCACCCCACCCAATCTTGATGCCAATGGTTTCTTGATAATTCCCGATGAATTGCAAGAAATGCACTTAAGTGAGAAAAATACCATATACAGCTCAATATAATTACAGTTATGTTGTTGAGAAATTAAACCATATATTGCTTATAATGTAGGACTTTGGCAAGCTAAGAGACCAAGACACATAAGCAGCTGATAATGCAAAGACAAACAACGAAGTATGTAATATGAAAAATCACTAAACTAACAAATTATAGTAATTAACAACTATTAGCTGCATGTATTACTTACTAGCATGAAATGTATTCAAGTGCATAATAAAATCTGAGAGGCTCTTAAATAATTTCTTACAAAAGGCCGAAGAAAATGAACTAAAGAAACAATGGATCTAATCAGTTCTTGGAAAGAGGCCACAGACACAGCTACAATTTACTCAACTATTTAATTGTAGCAACTGACAACAAAGGGCGGCACATAGAGCTTCAATTCCTAATTCTTTCATAAAAATAATGATTATTACAGAGATTGGTTGTCATGCAAGAAGTCAAGTAAAATTTCCTTCACCACATGTAGTTGGAAATATATTATAAAGGGAATACCAATATTAAATATTAAAAATGATCAAAATTGGCAAGTAAACCATGAATTGAACAGCACTGTGACAAAGGAGTATATATATCTGTGTATGCATTATGCATTTGAACAAACAATATATGTTATGTATTATGTATGTATTATGCATTTGAACAAAGGAGTTGTCACAATAAGAGCAAAACAAATCCAAATGCCTGAAGTATACTTCATATCACCAGAAAAGTATCACCTCACCATGGCTAGATGAAAGCCACACAGTTACAAAAATTCTAATAGGGAGGACCATATATCACGCGACTTACAAAAACTGTCATATCAGCAGTGCTTTGCTTTGGATCTTTAGAATCTTGTCCATCTTGTAAGAAAAATCAATGAGATTACTGATTGATATCTGACTCAAACTTTAACCTAAGTAAATCAATCTGATTGATATCTGATATTGTAATAATATATTATATAAAAAGGATAAATAGAAAATTTCTTAAGGTAGTACATGGTATAATATTAATATAGATCTTAAAAACCCTTATTTTCATATTACTCTCTGATTGGATAGAACTCAGATATCTGAGATGCCCAGCTCTTTCCTCCTAGGACAGCAGCAGTAGTGCAAAATGCTTGTCCTCTGTTAACGGAAAAACATAATCAGTCCAACATAATAAAAATTAAATGTCGTTTTATTACCTTAACTGTATTTTCAATGAACAAAACATGGCATTCAAACTACAAATGCTAATAAATTGATATCAATTCCCAAACAATGAACAAAAAGCTAACACAGAGTTGTTCAATTCAAATCTAAACAAGATCAAAACCAGAACAATCATGTAAACAAATATATTAGAACTTACCTCCAATGAGAAAGGGCTTCTTTTCTCATAGGAGTTGATTTTTTCCATCACTACCGATCAACAATTGGATCATTTGAGAGCTTGAAAATAAAATAAGGATGATTATTCAATCAATACATATATAAATTCATATATATACTTGTATAGGGAGATTTTTAGGAGAAAAAAAAAATTATCCGAAAAAAGTACAGATAATGTATACGCAGATAACGAGATTGTGCGAGATCGAGAGAGATCGAGAGAGAGGGAGACAGAGAGAGAGAGGGAGAGAGAAGAATCGATGAAACTGAGATTGGAAGACCAACCCTCAGACGGCGCTGATCTTGCACAACCTGTTTAGCACGGGCCCTAACCTCATATGGATCAATCTTGGATTGAGGGCGAACTAGAGCATATACAACTCATCAATCATTGAAACGAGAGAGACGGGAAGGAAGAGCTTCTGAGAGAGAGAGAGAGAGAGAGACGGTGGAGCTCACCTTAGAAGACAATGGTGTAGATGATGATGGAGACGATGGTGCAGATGGTGGAGACCGATCTGAATCTCTGAATCTCTGCGATGAAATCACTGAGATGAAATCGCTCTGAATCTTTGTGATGAAATCACTGAGATGAATCTCTGAATTGCTCTGATAAGGGTTTAGAGAGGGTTGAGAAGGAGATTTAGAGAAAGAAAGAGAGACAGTGGTGGAGCTTCGAAATCGCTCTGAGATTTAGAGAGAGAGAGAGAGAGAGAGAGAGAGCTCGAAAATTTGGGTCTTAGGTGAGTCTGAGATTCAAAATTAGGCTTTGAAAAGAGGAGACCAAGCGCGTGAGGCACAACACATTTGGAGGCATTTAAAACGCCACCTATTATTAAACGGTGTCGTTTTGTTAAACAAATATGCGACGTTTTATAAAACGTCGTTAAATGTTAAAAAAAAGTGACGTTTAAAAATGCGTCGTTAAAAAAACACCGCCTAAACCTCTTTTTCCTGTAGTGAGTGATTTTGTGACAACCACCTCCTTAATTAAGCAAATTAATTATATTAATTATATGCTTATTGTTAATTATGTGATTTTGTGTTAATTGTGCCGTATGATATATGCTTGCATTGATTGGTATTGTCTTGTGATTGTGAATGCGGATATGTATGATTTAGACTTGTCTGCTCGTTAATTTTAACAAGTTAGAATTTAGAAATTAGATAGGAATTAGAGCCTAATTTATCTTAATATAATTTAATCAAGTGTAATTAAGACTATTCGATGATGAGAGTAATTTAATTTGAATCAAGTTGATTTTAATTTAGTTAGTCTAATTAATTTGAGTCTGATGCATTTTACTCATCAAAAGAATATAGAAGATAGAGCTAGTGGATCTTGTTGGGTAGTCTTACACTATACACGTAGAGAGAGAGGAAGAAAAGACTTGGTGAGAGAGCTCAGCTAGAGAAGGAAGTTAGGAAGAACGAGAAAGTGAAAGGAAACTTAAAATCTTCACCAATTAACCAATTAAGGTAAGAAATTTCCACCAAATTTCATGAAATTGAAACGCTTCCCTGGTAATCCTTTAGACTTTGAACTGTTTTAAGTAAAGATCATGATTAATTACAAGAGTAGGGGTGTAAATTGATGTTAGGAATTCATATGATCACATAAAGAAGGAATTGTGGATATTAACTTGAATTAGCAACATGCATGGCATGAATTCAAGACACTATTGTTTCTATGCATATTTGTTGCACAAGTCTAAGGTTGCGTTTGGTAGAACTTTCTAACTATGATTTGAGAGTATGAGTTGTATTTTGAGTTTGTGAGTTTTGAAATTATACAAAAACTTACAACTCATAACCAAACATACAATTCAAAATTCTATTAAAGCACACAAAAATTTTTTAAAAATTTGGAAAATATATTTTTTGAATATATAAAAATTAACATATCAATTGCAAAAATAAAAAATAAAAAAAAAATTTGTTTTATTCCGGTCAATCGGCCGAACGACTGGTAGGATGTCCGGTAGGACATCAGGTGGGACGACCGGGTAGGCCAAATTTCAAAAAAAAAAATAATTTGAAAATCGCGCTTTACAGAGAGTTTTCTGCAGAGTTTTGTGTTTGTTGTGGAAAACTAGTTCCAAAACTCAATCCAAACATGATGTTCCAATAGGGGGTAGAATCAGGATTTGAAAATCCTTCCAAACAGAGCCTAAAAGTTTTGAAAGGATTTTCTCATCAATTTTTAAATTTGAAGCTTTGAAATACATGGTTTATGTGTCTATGTTTTATTTGGAGTCTTGAGCTTTCAAATTGGCAATTTGGACATTGTTTACAAGTTTTGATTGTGTTTCATGATCATGGCTCAAAGTCAAGCATGTTTATATGTTTTTGTTTTGTTTTTGGGAGGAAAACTCCATGCATTTTAAAGAATTAGAGCTCAATTTGTATTAGTTATGAACTTGTGTTTACACTTTAAGAATGTGAACTCCTTGCATGATTTTGAAGCTTCAATTGAAGTTATGTATTTTGTTCCAAGCTAAATATGTTTAATTCAAGGTGTTATGTCAAGTTTTTGGAAGTGAAATGCATGAAAATGGGCCTGATTTTGTAAAGGAATGCATTGCCCAAAACAAGAGCATTTTTGGACAGTTTTTCACCTAGCGCCACACGTGCGGCTTGGAGCCCCACACGTGCGAAAAATAGGGCAGATTTGAGGAACATTCTGCTTAAATTGTAGGTGCGAGAGGCACGCACGGAGATGGTCCCGCACGTGCGGTAGTTAGGGTGGTCCCGGTTTTGTTTTTGCTCTTCTTTTCTACCTTTCGGGCCTCCATTTGCATGGTTTTAAAGTGCATTCGTTCATGTGCATTTGCATCTCATGAACACAAATGAATATATAACGAAAGTTAAAACTGAAGGATTGAACAACAAATAGAAATTGATCAAGTAAACAACAAACTGAATAGAAATAGAAATGATTGCGCAAAGGAATGGCATGATTGTAATTGAGTTGTGCTTGAATCTGTTTGTTTAGGTTGAATGCCGCAATTTTAGTGCATTTAAGCACCTATATCGAGGAGCCCACTGTGAGTAACAATGTTGTAAAACTATGTTCAATTATAATTATTTTCTGATTGATTGACTATATTACTTTATGAAATGAGATTGTTTACTGAATGAATGTTGTCCTACTTTTGTAAACTGTACTCGTGGCATCCATAGCAACTGACTGTTATTGCTACTGCTACTGCTACTATTACTGTTACTGCTACTATTACAGAGATCTCTGTTAGTTCCAATTTGTGGAACTACTATTACTGTATTAATGGCCATCAACTGCTTGTTTGGTTCTTAAGACCTACTGAACTGTTCTGTTATAGGATGTACCACGTAAGACTATAATGATTTCATATGACACTAAAATGTATGAATACTGCTTATTGAACTGATTTATTACTGAAATTGATTGTTTCAATTGTTATAAGGACATCATTCATAAACCTTTACGCATTTGTTATTCACTGTGATTTAGCTCACGGTTTATTATATATGTAGGTGGCCAAGCACCGGAGCAAAATTAGCGGCGTCAACCTAATCCCGTTTTGTCAAGCCAACCTATTGTGCCTCACTGTAAGGTTTCAAACCGTTATTGTCAAGGCTTTTTGGGGTGACTTAATTCCATCCTTTTTGAATGATTATATGACGTCAAGTGAATGTTTTCTAACTTGTTTTTGGCTTGGGATTTAATTCTCTAACATGTCTTTTATTTTGTACTTAGATGTGTTTTGGATTTAAGTGTTGATTATATGTTTGGACTTGGACTTATGTGTATATCGGTAAATATATATAGAAGTTGTCTGCTCATTTAAGTCCTCACAGCTCTTCGGACATTATGTTTTAATGTTTATTGGCTTCTGCCGGCCTCTCTTATTGTATAATTGTTATTACTGTTAAGCCGGCCTTTGGTAATCGTAAATTACTGGCCGGTTACGATGCTAAACCCTTAGGGCCGGGTTTGAGTCGTGACAGATTTTTCATAACAGTATTAAGATTTGACCAAATTTCAACAAAATCAAGAAGCCCCCAATTAATTTTAACTTTTATAGCATTTGTAAGCTAAAAAATTAATATTCAGTCTAACTAATTTAAGTTCACAATCTAAAAAACGATATGTATGGATTATGTAATTTTGATTACTAATTATGGATCTAAAAATACGAGAAAAATAATATTTAATTGATACTTTGTTGTAACTGATTTAATTCTTATTTGGTATTATAATTTTAGATATTTATTTGTTTGTTTATTTTATGGATTTTTTTTAAATTATAAAGCAACAAAATCATATTTTTCTTTCTTTGAGTTTTTGTAATGGTTTCTTCATGTCTTAATCTATCAATGCAAGTAAATGTAATATATAATTTTAGTGATTTTATATTAAAGTATCATTTTTATAGGTATTAGCAAATAAAAAAAATTATATTCCTCATTTTACCAACAAAAAAAAAAAATCGTGTGATTATGTATTGAGGGCCCCATTTCAAAAATTTGTGTAGCCCCTTTACCAACTCAGGGCCAGCCCTACACTTTTGCCAATAACCAAATCCAACCACTCCTTTCACTTATTTTTGAAACATATTTTTAAAATATATGTGGACACCAAATGTGTTTGTAATCTTTTTGTTTGTTTCATATTTTCTGTCATGAACAAAAATGGTACTGTAAATGTTACCGAACGGCACCTACCAGTCCTTCCACATGAAACTGGTCTGTGATGCCACTACCTATCACAGTTGTAGGGCCATAAGTTGAATATTCAACATCAAGGTTTTGGTGAGGAGTCATACAAGAACAAATAAAATTTTAATATATATCCAGAAACAGTACACTGTGAAAATGACATTTGTCGTGCGTGATTGTTAAGACTATTGTAAGCTTGTGTTTATTATTGACAAGGGCAAGCTTCTACCTTTCAACATGATTGACAACTTGCCAATTAATTCTGTATTTCAAATGTTCTGTAGATATGCAAAGAATATTAAAAAAAAAAAAGGGATAGTTGGATTAACAGTTGTTCTGTAGATATGTACAAAAATTTAAAAAACAAATAGCT